TGTAGGATTAAATCACACATGATTTAATATAACCTAACTTAACCTAATCCAATGTCACCTTAACCTAACTTAACCTAACCTACCCTTCTCTAACCTAATACAAGGTCTATTAATGTACCTAACTTAACCTGACTTACCAGGTAGTAGGCAGCTACCAAACAGGGAGGTACTACCGCCTGGGAAGATATTGGAAGCATAATGTGTTGTCTAATGGTAGACATCACGAAAATTGTGACCAAGTCCCAGGTTGCTGATCTGACTTTCTGCCTCATTTACACACAATTGCAGGGTCTCAATTGTTTCTCTATTTTACTATTGACAACACAACATACTGTACATATATCATTTCTCACTTTTGATCTTTTTTTCATTTTTGTATTTATAGCATTTATTATTAATATTATTATGATTATTACAGTTACTGTATTATTATCATCATTATTTTATTATTATTTTTTTTTTTATCATAAATTTTATTTATTATGAATTATTATGACTATTATTTATTATTATTATTATTATTATTATTATTATTATTATTATTATTATTATTATTATTATTATTCTTTTTATTATTATTATTATTATTATTATTATTATTAATATTATTATTATTATTATTATTATTATTATTATTATTATTATTATCATCATCATCATCGTAATCATCATCCATCATCATCATCATCATCATCATCATCATCATCATCATCATCCATCCATCCATCATCATCATCATCATCATCACATCATCATCATCATCAATCATCATCATCATCATCATCATCATCATTACATTTTCACCCCAGGCCCCAATATTGGGTCAGTGACCTGTGCCGGGTGGGCTAATCCCATAAAAAAAAAAAAAAAAAAATAATCAACTCTGATCTAACCAAGTGTTAAGACGTAACATAAAAACCTGTAAGTTTTAGTCACCTTTATTTACATGGGATTTTGTTGACTAAGCGACCACCTGCAGGTGTGTGGGTGAAGCAGAGTTAACACCTGTACTCATCACCACAATATTGTGGGTGAAACATATAACACCTGTACTCATCTCTTTATAATGTGTGTGGAAGAGACAGTTTACACCTGTACTCGTCACCCTGTGTGTGGGTGAAACATATAACACCTGTACTCGTCACCTGTCTGTGGAAGAGACAGTTTACCCTGTACTCGTCACCTATGTGTGGAAGAGAGACAGTTTACACCTGTACTCGTCACCCGTGTATGGATGAAAAAGACAGTTTACACCTGTACTCGTCACCTGTGTGTGGGTGAAACATATAACACCTGTACTCGTCACCTGTGTGTGGGTGAAACATATAACACCTGTACTCGTCACCTGTGTGTGGGTGAGACAGTTTGCACCTGTACTCATCACCTGTGTATGAATGAAACAGACAGTTTACACCTGTACTCGTCACCTGTGTATGAATGAAAGAGACAGTTTACACCTGTACTCGTCACCTGTGTGTGGGTGAGAGACAGTTTACACCTGTACACTCTTGTGGTAATGTTGGATAAATTGGTTTGTGTCAGGTGTATATTAGTCACATGTGATAACCTCGCTCCGGCTGTGTGGCTTTAATTAAACTGTCAAAAGCGAGTCACTTGTAATGAAATGAAAATTACGTTACGTGAGGTTATGAATGAATAATTACTAGCTTATAAATTGTTGAATTATCATATATTTAAAATATCTACCTTTTAATTGGGATGCGGCGGCTGAGTGGATATAGCCCTCGCCTTCTCCTATTGGTTACAGGTTCAATCCCAGCTTTAAATTGGTACCTAACATTGCAGATGGGAACGTGAAGGCCATCACATGCAGTGCCGGCCGAAGTACCTCCTTTATGTACACTGTATTTTAAACCAAGTAATTTTTTCTGTCTCTCGAATACCGCCAATGACACACACACACACACACACACACACACACACACACACACACAGAGATATCATAAGGAAAATGAAAGTGAAAATGAAGTCAATAATGGACCAATTTAGTTCTTAGTGGTCCTCTTCCCCACTACCATATTAGGCACATATTTTACCCCCCCCCCTTGGCCACTTTGCCTCTCTCCTTCTCTTCCTCATCTTCCTCATCCTTCTTCTTCTTCTTCTTCTTCTTCTTCTTCTTCTTCTTCTTCTTCTTCTATTGGCGACTGCTCCTCTTCTCATTCCCCATCATCACCATACTTTCCTCACCACTGCCACCATACCTTACCCAGTATGTGTGGTATAACTGTCAATCATCATCAGCATATTCAAGTACCATCACCAACGCACTCACAGTACCACCATTACCACCATCAATAAATACTACACTACCACCATCACACCTACACCATCACTATCTACACCATATCACTTACCCTCACCTTCACTCACTATATTCCTCACTACCACCACCATCACAGATCACTCCATCTCTCCTCTACCACAATCTACGCTTCACTACCACCACCTACCACTACTACCACCACCTACCTACTACTACCACCACCTACCTACTTCTACCATCACCTACCACTATTACTACCTCTACTACACACACCACTACCCACCACCTACCTACTACTACACACACACACCACCTACCACCTGTACTACCTCTACACACCTCCTACCTAGTAATACCACCCACTACTACACCTACCCCTACCACTACTACCCCTGCCTACTTCTACACACTATGCCACACCTACCACTACTACCACCACCACCACCTACCACTACTACCACCACACACTACACACACACACACACCAGGCAGTGAGAGGGTTTGCATGCAGTGGTGACTACAAACCCAGCAGTTTGGGGGAGTGTGGTGAGTGGTAGCGGCCGTCCACACTGAGTCAACTAACAGGATTACTGACCATGTACACTGTTTGATGGCGGTGTGTGTGTGTGTGTGTGTGTGTTGGCTCCGGGTTACACACACACACACACACACACACACACACACACACACACACACACACACACACACACACACACACACACGATAATGATATCGCTCAAGACCGCCACCACAGGAATCAGGCAGGCGAGCGTCCGTCTGGCGTAGTTTCCATGGATACGTCATTGAAATATAGAGATGAACGCCAGGTTGTGATCGCTGGTGCTGTTGTCTGGACTCTACAAACAGTGTCATCGTCTACGGACATTAGTACCCATATTTCACTAAGTAATTATTGGCTGAATAATTGGTTCTTGAGAGCAGTTCCAGTAGGCCTAAGCTAACCTAACCTAACCTAACCTAACCTGCACTATGATTTCTCTGACTGAAACGATTGTAAGAACTCTCATCTCACTCCACCTAAAACTTCATACACTTCTGTTGACAATATTTCACAAACTATTTACCTTAATATGGCAGTTTATATTCCTCCTTGGCTATTTACAAAAGAACCTGAATACTATATGTCAGTTGCTATTTATATTGGTTATTTGAGTTTATGGTTGAATAAATTAAGTTAAAATAAATAAACAAAAGGGGGGGGGGGCTATTAGACGTGGCAGCTATTAGGGTTGTTGTCGCTATTTACTCCTAACACCAGGTGGATCTCCCTAGTGATATTGTATTTAATTTATTTATGTTTACCTGTGTTTTATTAATTTTCGTCATCCATTTTTTTCACATCATCAGTTTGGTTAAAAACGTTCATGTAACTTTAGAGTCTGTGTGGCTTGGGGAAGTGGGGCCCGGCTTGGTGTATGGGGGGTGGGAGGAGGCCATGGCCAGGTGTGGGGTGGGAGGGGTGTGGGGTAGGGCCCGGCCAGGTCGCTTGAAGGGGTAGGGCCCGGCAGGTGAAGTGGGGCCCGGCAGATGAGAGGTGGGAGGGTGTGGGGAGTAGGGTGGCAAAATGTGGGGTGGGAGGGTGGGAGTAGGGCCAACCCAGCAGGTGTGGGGAAGTGGGCCAACCGGGGTGGGGAGAGGTGTGGCCACATCTTGTCAATATTTTAATTCAAAATTTCCTTTTAATGTTTTCCCAATAGCTTTCCGATAAGTCTTTAGGATTACCTCCCGCAAATATTGGAAAATAAATGGCAATCTGACTAATAAATCTTAATGTGGTGTGTGTGTGTGTGTGTGTGGCTGTGTGTGTGTGTGGAAAGACCAAGCTACTGGATGGGGAGATAAGAACTGTAAATAGGAGACAAGAACAGTAAATAGGAGACCAGGAGATAAAGTTTTTAAGGTGGAGAAAAAAATGAGGAGATCTGAGGACCCTTCCTGTGCTTACGTCATAATTAGTTCCATCTCTCTTAATTACAGGTAATCAGGTGATGAGCGGGTGGCACCTGTGGCTCTCTTGAGGGGAGTGCCACAGGTGTGTTGTTTATATTATTACCTTGCTGTACCTGTCTGTCTGTTGTGCTTGTATACCTTAAGTATTAGTGTATACTGTACTGTATATCTGTATAGCTTTGGTGTGGTATATTATAGATGTTTAATACTTACCGTGTTATATAGTCGCTATATTACACAACTTAATCCTATAGTTCAAGAGAATATGAGAAGTAACTATTATTTAGGGTGAGTAAATTCTTAACCAAACCTCACCTAACCTAACCTAACCTAACCTAACCTAGAAGTGATAAGAGAGAGTGGAGGCACACTGGAGATGTTCCTACACTCTACAACTCTTAGTCATCTCCTCCTGTAGCCAGAACAAAAGCCCCTCTCCTCCCCACACACACACTGAGTGATCCCCCCAGGCAGGATTCATTGTCTCCTCCACCCTCGTACTACCATACCTTGTCAACACACTACCAGCCATCTCCAGCCACCCTCTGAACACGGTCACTCGGGACACTCATTCACGTCACTCACAGTCTAGTTACTCCCCCACTCATCCCACTAATTACGGTACAGTTAATTATTCATCCCATTCATAAGACAGTCAGTTATGTATGCCAAAAACATTACAGTCTGTCAGTCACGCTAATGCCATTCAGTTACTTAACCCATCCAGTCAAAACAGTCAATGATGTTACAACCAGGACAGTCACTCAGTCACACTCCACCTAGTCCAGGACAGTCGGCCAGTCACACTCCACCCAGTCCAGGACAGTCACCCAGTCACACCACAAAATTCTACACAGTCTTTAAATGTAAATTGATTTTGATCTCAATAAATTGTTTAATTGTCACTTATTAAACACCTTTTTTCACTCTCAAGTCCTCCCCACTAGTACTCAGGATGACCAGGACTCACACACTAGTACTCAGGGTAACCAGGACTCACACACTAGTACTCAGGGTGACCAGGACTCTTACACTAGTACTCAGGATGACCAGGACTCTCACACTAGTACTCAGGATGGCCAGGACTCTCACACTAGTACTCAGGGTAACCAGGACTCTTACACTAGTACTCAGGGCAACCAGGACTCTTACACTAGTACTCAGGATGACCAGGACTCTCACACTAGTACTCAAGGTAACCAGGACTCTTGCACTAGTACTCAGGTTAACCAGGACTCTCACACTAGTACTCAGGGTAACCAGGACTCTTACACTAGTACTCAGGGTAACCAGGACTCTCACACTAGTACTCAGGATGGCCAGGACTCTCACACTAGTACTCAGGGTAACCAGGACTCTTACACTAATACTCAGGATGACCAGGACTCTCACACTAGTACTCAGGATGACCAGGACTCTCACACTAGTACTCAGGATGACCAGGACTCTTAAGAGGTACACGATCCTCCCTCAGTAGCTGTCATTTGTTGTCACGGTGTCGGCAGATTGGTTTAACAGTGTGTTCTTCCCCACGTCGACCTGGTGTACTGTATCCACTCCCCCGCCTCTGCTCTCCCACCCACCAGCACCTCACCTGTCTGCCTGCCTGCCTGCCTCCTTTCTTATCCTTCCACACACACACACACACACACACACACACACACACACACACACACTCTGTTAGCCACAATTTGTCCTAGAACGTGAAAATAATATCCATAAATTTTCCACAAGACTAAATGACGACGTTGCGCCTGTTTCTGTGAGACTGGAATGGCTGCTACGCTGACATACGCAGATGAATCCGTTTACTCCATTGACGAACGCTGTCCTTGTTAAATTATGCAAAGAAGGATAATTAGGAAAACGGGGGTGGGGATTTGTCGAAATGACGTCATTACAGGAGATTTAAAGAGCTATTCAACAAACGACTTCCTGATCAGCCATTCGTCATGACGTCAGGCGCACACGTTGATTGGTGAAGATGATGAGCCTTGCCTATTGGTCTGGCTCATTATGACGTCATAGCTGCACGACGTTGATTGGTGGTAACTGACTCGTCTGACCAATGGGCGGGATCAATAGTAATCAACTAATGGAAAGTATACAGGTGTGTGGTAAAGCTCTCAAAACTATGTGCAGGTGTAATTAATGGACTCAGGGGAGGTGGGAGTGAGGAAGAGATAATAATAGAGACGGCAGACAAAAGAAGGAAACCAAGCCAGGAGAGAGAGAGAGAGAGAGGATTGGTTTATGGATGTTTGAGATAGAAGATGATGTTGTAAGACTAAGGATGAACAGGTGAGTGAGTGAGTGGGTGAGTGAGTGAGTGGGTGAGTGGGTGAGTGAGTGGGTGAGTGAGTGGGTGAGTGAGTGAGTGGGTGAGAGTATTAGGCTGGTGAGGGTGGTAGAGAAAAGGGTGAGGGGGAGATGAGAGAAAGACGAAGAAGGAAGGGATGAAGAGGGAAAAGAAACTGGAAGAGTAGGAAGAGGAAGGAGGGGTTTAATAAAGGGTTGAGAGAAGGGCATAACGAGAAGAGGAGTTAGATGGGGGAGTTAAAATTGGTTTAGAAAGGCGGGAAGAGGAGGAGGAAGAAGATTGAAAAGGAAGGGAGGAAGATGGAAGAGACAGAGAGAAGAAGAAGAAAGTGGAGGTACATCTGAAGCTTTGGGGAGAGAGAGAGAGAGGATATGAAAAGGAAAGAGGGAAAGGAAGAAAGGGGAAAAGGAGGCAGAGCAGAATAAAGGAATCTGAGAAGAAAGAGAATGAAGTGAAGTGAGAGAAGGGAAATAAAGGGGATAGGGAAGAGAGAGAAGGAGAGGGGGGAAGGGAGGGAGAGTGAGTGAGGGAATGGGAGAGAAGAAGGAGGAGGAGGAGGAGGAACTTCCATATGTCAGTAAGCCAATCAAACTTAAAGTGGCTGAAACTGCTCGTGGCAAATAGTCCGTCGTTACCCGGGATTATGGGGGCGGTGGAAGAGGTGGGAGAGTGGCTGGAATAGAGAGGGAAGGGAAAGCGAGAGAAAGGAAGGAACATAGAAAGGGCAGAGACAAAAAGGAATAGTGAGGGAAAGGAGGGGTGAAAGAAGGACGAAAAGAGAGGCAAGGGGAAGGGAGAGACAAAGAAGGACAGTGAGGGAAGAGAGAGATGGAGCAGAGGGAGAAGGGAGAACGAAAGAGGAGGAACAGAGAGGGAAGGGTGGAAGAGAAAGAAGGAAGGTAGGGGTAGAGACGGGCGATAGAGTGGTAAGGGAAGAGGAGAAATATGAAAAGAGAGAGAGAGAGAGAGAGAGAGAGAGAGAGAGAGAGAGAGAGTTTCAACACCATGTTCACAATTCGTCAACAGACAATATTACCTCACCATATTCACCAAGCTCTTGTTGACACATTAGAGGCGTAATAAAGGGGATCTGCCTCAGGTACAGGTCCTCCTCCTCCTCCAGCCTTCACCGATATAACTAAAAACATTCCCGATAATTTCTCAAGTAAATGGCCACTTTGTTGGGAAAAAATCTCATCTTCATAGTGTAGCGAATAACTGAGTGTTCCTAAATGTTCCTCTTCTGTTTGTGTGTCTCTGACGACCTGCGTGTGTGTGGGGGAGGGGTAGAAAAGATGGGGAGGAACGGTGGGGTGGGGAAGGAAGAGTTGAGAAGGGGTAAGGAGGGTGAAAAGAGGGGGGTGTGGGGTTGGGAAGCAGGGACGGTGGGGATGAAAGGTTAAATCTCAAGGGATACCCTGAGGTATAACTGGGCCCTACCATGGTCCGGTAATGGTAAGACTGGGCCCCACCATGGTCCGGTAATGGTAAGACTGGGCCCCACCATGGCGCTGGTAATGGTAGGACTGGGCACCACCATGGTCCGGTAATGGTAGGACTGGGCCCAACCATGGCCCTGGTAATGGTAGTACTGGGCCCCACCATGGCCCGGTAATGGTAGGACTGGGCCCCCACCATGGCGCTTGTAATGGTAGGACTGCTCCACCATGGTCCGGTAATGGACTGGTCCCACCATGAAGTGGCAGGACTGGGCCCCACCATGGTCCGGTAATGGTAGGGATGGCCCCACCATGACGCTGGACTAATGGTGACTGGGCCCCACCACGGTAACAGGACTGGGCCCCACCATGGTCCGGTAATGGTAGGACTGGGCCCCACCATGGCGCTGTAATGGTAGGACTGGGCCCCACCATGGTCCGGTACGGTAGACTGGGCCCCACCATGGACGCCAGTAGGACTGGGCCCCACCATGTCCGGTAATGGTAGGACTGGGCCTCACCATGGCTAGTAATGGTAGGGACTGGGTCCCACCATGGCCCGGATAATGGTAGGACTGGGCCCTACTATGGTCCGGTAATGGTGACTGGGCTGTGGTCCGGTAATGGTAGGACTGGGCCCCATGGCCTGGTACGGTGACTGGGCCCCACCATGGTCCGGTAATGGTAGGACTGGGCCCCACCATGGCGCTTGTAACGGTAGGACTGGGCCCCACCATGGCCCGATAATGGTAGGACTGGGCCCCACTATGGCCCGGTAATGGTAGGAGTGGACCCCGCCATGGCTCGGTAATGGTAGGATTGTGCCCCACCATGGCCCGGTAATGGTAGGACTGGGACCCACCATGGCCCCGGTAATGGTAGGATTGGGCCCCACCATTGCCCCGGTAATGGTAGGACTGGGCCTCACAATGGCCCGGTAATGGTACGGTTCGCGGGTATTGCAACACTCTCGCTCGCTCTCAATGACAACATCAAAACAATATTCCAACACAAATATCGAGACAACTTTCATATTTTTCGATATTTTTCAAATCCCAAGGAAAGAATTTACGCTTTATTGAAGTATTGTAGAAGAATAACATAGAGAGAGCAATGGGTGTTAGATATTGATAGTGGGGGAGAGGGAAGCTCTTGCCGTTCTCTCTTCTCATTTGTTTTTTCTCTGTTTATACGCGACATTCACTTGTTTAATAAGTTCCGAGGAAGATTCAGTGGAGAGTAACAATGGAGCGGCTCACACTGGCCCCTATATCAGACCATAGTTTGTTTTACACTTAACTGGGTCAAGTATTGTTAATTTTAGGGTATCGGTGTTGTCTGTAGAGGTTAATCTTATTATATTTTCTTTCCTACATTACTCATCTTTATCCCCTCTTGTGTATTTCCTCTCCTTTCCTTACTTCCTTCTATCCATCCTCAAACCGTTCCTTCTACCATCCTTTTTGTTCTCTAATTACCTCCTTTTTCCCCATTATTACTGACTTTCATCTTACATCTTTTCCTTCTCTCCATCTCTCTCTTTCCCCTCCAAATTCTCACCTTGCACATTATTTACCTTTCAGTTCTTCCGTCTACTCAATCCTCTTGTCACCTATTCTTACCCTGTTCCACCTCTCTCTCTCTCTCTCTCTCTCCAGGAAAAAACACCAAATATAGATTCCTCAAACTGTCAGTCGTCTCCCAGTATAGTATCGGATCCCACAGATATCTCCCTCCTGCCTCTCTCTCTCCTCTTCCTTCTCCTCCTCTCTCCCTCTCCTCTTCCTCTTCCTCCTCCTTCCTTTCAAACCCTCTCTCCTCTCACTTTCGCCTCCAAGATCATCCCAAGGAAATATAAATTCATGGATTATAGAGTTCTCGGGAGATAGAGGCTCCCACTCCATCTAATTAGACGATCGGATTCCCTGTGTTCGATGCTGTTGGTTATAGAGGAAGAGGAAGAAGAGGTTCGAGGGTGTGAGTGTTGATGCTTTTTTGTTTCTCTGGTTAGTTGATTACATCTATCTCTCTCTCTCTCTCTCTTTTTCTTTCTTTCTTCTCCTATTCCCTATCTCCTTCTTTTGTCTTTTTTTCCTATTTAAGTATCCTTCCTTTCCCCCCTGTTCCTTATACTATCTTCTCTACCCCTTTATCTCCTATCTTCTATTTAGTTCTTATTTATCTCTATTTTTCTCTCTGTCCACTTTCTTTATTGCCTTACTTCTCTCTCTTATCCATTTAAGCTTCTCTTTTGCTCTCCTTCCATCATCCAATCATACCTTTCTCCTCCATCATCCATACTCTTCTCCTCTTCTTCTCACATCAACAAGACAAAACCCAACAGCAACCCTTAAATATTCAGGTGTAAATTTATCAATCTATATTCGTGGCTGCAGGTAACCGGGCCACACTCTCTCTCAATTCCCGTAACTTATTGGAATCCATTAAACGCCGAGTCTGGTTGATTATGGTTGACACTGGCTAAAGTACCGAGTGTGGTTGATTGTGGTTGATGGTAGCCAGAGTATCGAGTGTGGTTGATTGTAGTTGATGCTAGTCTGAATATGGAGTGTGGTTGATTGTGGTTGATGATGACCAGAGTACCGAGTGTGGTTGATTGTAGTTGATGCTAGTCTGAATATGGAGTGTGGTTGATTGTGGTTGATGATGGCCAGAGTACCGAGTGTGGTTGG